ATCACCAAAAGTGTTCATAACATCCAGCAGAGAACTTGTGTCACAAATGTTTGGTAGCCAAGTGATTGAACAATTTGTTTCTGATGTTTGTTCTTCGTGGGGCAAGATTTGTGAGGTGAAGAGCGTTGATGTTGAAGACACGGGAACTGTGTACGCCCTTAAATTGAGAAAAATGACGCAAGCCAGTCAAGGCATCATGAAAAAGTTTCTGGCATCTTTCTAAACACTGACCCCTCACAGCATGGCGACTGAAAGAGTAGTCTCGCATTACAACAACATCAAAAGTGTGAAACGATCATCCTTGCATCAAGGGACGATCAATGGTGTAATGAACATATCTCTAAATGGGATAGGCACTGCCTATTATGATCCAAGACCGGCTGTGTTCACGTTTTTAAAGAAGAAAGACAGGCGAAATGCACAGCCTTGCAGTGAGCTTTACAAACAAATAGATTTTGTCAGAAAGTTTTTTCAAAGTGATAATGGCTGTCTTTAGTTTACTATTATATGTTTGTGCTGTGGCTAAAAACTTGTAACTACGAAAATTCATTAATTAAAACAGTGTGTTTTACAGCGGCATATACCTGTGTGCTTCTTTTGGCTATTACACTTTTGGGCCCTTTTTGCAAATTTTCCCCAGTAGTTGAAATTCCTTAAAAAATGCCCTGTTCCAAAGGTCACCGTTATATTCTCACTTGTGTCGATCGTTTCACGCGTTGGCCTGAAGCAATACCACTACCAGACATCTCAGCAGAAACTGTTGCACGCGCCTTTGTTCAACGATGGATTGCAATATTTGGTGTTCCTTCTACCATAACTACGGATGCTCAATTTCAGTCCAACTTATTTAGATGATTAACCCAGCAACTTGGCACCAACCACATCCATACAACTGCATACCACCCTTCTGCTAATGGTCTTGTGGAGCGCTTTCATTGTCAATTGAAGTCTTCCTTGAAAGCATCGGATAACGGCCTTAATTGGACTGACTGCCTTCCATTGATAATGCTCAATATTCGCTCCTCTTTTAAATCAGACCTTAGCTGCAGCCCCGCTGAACTCGTTTTTGGAACACAACTTCGTCTCCCTCGTCAATTTTTTGCTCCATCATCCTTGGCTTCTCTAGATCCGAAAAATTACGTTGACCGTTTACGTCGGTACATGTCAAAGCTACAAGCTACGCCAACCCGGTCTCATACAAATCGCTCCTACATTCCTACAATCGTTCGATTTTAGCTGTACGCGTTCTATCACGTGTCCGTTTTGCTATCTTGATGTGTCTTTGTTTACATGTTGAAATCGAAAAAATAAATGTCAAACCGCCAAAAAACTCCGTGATTTTCAAAAATGCTCCGTGATTTAAATGAAAGCAAACTAAACGCGAGAAACCCTAGCTAAAATGGGCAGTTTAGCATCAACAAGAGCAGCGTAAACGACAAACTTGGCAAAAATCCTGTCCGTGTGGGGGTACGAGCCCCGCGACCTCCGAATAGACAGCAAAGCATTGGCCGCTCGCAAAAAATTACAAGAAACTCCTATTCGCATGGACTCAGCACAAAAAGACACTGAGCATTCCAAAACAAATGTTTGAAGTTAACATGGACGTAAAAATGCCGAAATTTTCGAAAATGAAAGTTTACAAAAAAATTTGTTTTGGTTGAGGACGATTCAGGATGTTTCCCTTCATAATAAAACTGTAGCATCGATGCGAAATCAATAAGCGCTAACTTGATTGTCAGTGCGGGTCGTTAGCGGTACTTAGTGTAAATGGTGGATAGGTTTGCAACAATAAATAACGCGTGTGTTTCAGAGAGGCATTCACTATATACTTATCGTGCATCATTACATGGAGTAACAATATGTATGAATCACTACAATGCTCCCCTTTTTTTAAAACAAAACAAAACAAACATTAATGTATAAAATGTTAAAGTCACTCTTCCGTTTTCTTCATCTCGGTGCAGAAGTTCGATTCAAGGAGGATGTTTGCATAGTTATTTCGAATGAACAAACGTTGCATATTGGTCATAAAGATGGCAAATTATTCAAGCTGAATACTGAGCAAGTTTTTACCGCATATTTTGCTTCACCCAGAGCACGTGATAACTCTGTTAAGCTATGGCATGAACGTTACGGTCACCTTGGGTACGACAACCTAAAGCTGTTGAATGAAAAGGGTATGGTGGAAGGTTTGAACCTAAAAGCTGATGAAAGTTTTGATCGAAACTGCCAAGGTTGTTTAGAAGGCAAGCAACATCGAAAGCCTTTTTCAAATAAAAGCCAACGAAGAGCTACAGAAATACTAGAGTTAATTCACAGTGACGTTGAAGTCGTGAATGTTGATTCAGTGGGTGGCTCAAAGTATTATGTGACATTCACTGATGACTGTTCACGATTTACTACAGTGTACTTCCTGAAGAACAAAAGCGACGTTTTGACGAAGTTTAAAGAATTTGTTGCTGTGATGGAAAACTTCACTGGAAAGAAAGTTAAAATCCTGCGATCTGACAATGGCGGAGAGTACGTCTCTGGAGACTTTAAAGAGTTCTGTGCTACTCATGGCATCATTAGAGAGGAAACAATTCCTATGTCTCCGCAGCAGAATTGAGTTTCTGAAAGGTTAAATCGCACGATAATGGAAAGTGCAAGGTCAATGCTGCACCATGCACATCTCCCTTTGAGATTCTGGGCTGAAGCCGTCAATACAGCTGTTTATCTTCGAAACAGAAGCCCAACTGTAGCATTGCATGGCATGACACCTTTTGAACGTTTTCATGGTCATAAACCTGATGTCAGCAACTTGAAAGTTTTTGGATGCAATGCACACGTACATGTACCTGACATGAAACGAAGCAAGTTGGAGAAGAAATCAGTTAAGTGCATATTCGTTGGATATCCAGCTACTTGCAAAGGATATAAGCTGTATAACATTAAAGAAGGAAAAATGCTGAGAAGTCGTGATGTGGAATTTCTTGAAGAGGATTTCGATCGTTCTTCATTTGAGACCACTAAAGCTAGTGATTACAAGTTACTATTCAATTTTGACGGAAAATGCAGACAATGATGAACAAGTACAAGAAATTCGAAGATCCTCAAGAGTAATAAAAGTTCCAGAAAGGCCAGGTACAATAACAGGAGAATGGTGGCAACATGAAGATTTGGACTGTGCAAATATTGCAGTGCAGGACAGTGAAGAGCCTAAAAGTCTACAAGAAGCATTGAACAGTAAATTCGCAACACAGTGGAAGGACGCCATTGACAGTGAATATGAATCATTAACCAAGAACAACACTTGGGAGCTAGTTGATTTACCACCTGACAAGAATGTTGTAGGCTGCAAATGGATTTTTAAGATCAAGAGGAATGCAGATGGTAGCTTCAATCGATTCAAAGCACGCCTAGTGGCTCAGGGTTTCTCCCAAGAAGAAGGAACTGACTACAATGAAGTGTTTGCACCTGTTGCGAGGTATAACTCAATTCGAGTAGTTCTAGCTGTTGCCAACACATTAGATTTCGAGCTTCACCAAATGGATGTTAAGACTGCTTTCTTAAACGGCATACTCAAGGAAGATATTTACATGGCACAGCCCGCTGGATGCGTAAAAGAGGGCGCAGAAGGAAAGGTTTGCAAGTTAAAGAAAAGTCTGTATGGCCTGAAGCAGTCGGCTAGATGCTGGAATATGGAAATCGATAGATTTCTAAAGGATTCTGAGTACAAGCAGAGCAATGCAGATTCATGCAAATACACAAAAGTGGTGTCCAGCAATGGAAATCAGGTATCATTTGTGATTCTTTCATTATACGTTGATGATATTCTGATTGCTTCCAATGATAGTCAATTGCTTGTGAAGGAGAAGCAGATGTTATCACAAAGATTTGAAATGCAAGATATGGGACCTGCGATGCAATGTTTAGGAATGCTTATTGAGCGCTGTCGAGATAATAGAACTCTCTTTGTAAATCAGAACGCATATCTAGAGAACGTCCTTAAAAGATTTGGTATGACTGACTGTAAGCCAGTCTCTACACCTATGGAACCTGGAAAGGTATACACGAAGCTATCTGATGGTGAAAAAGCGTTTGACAAGAAAGAATATCAAGCAGCAATCGGATCATTAAACTATGCTATGATTGCATCAAGACCAGACATATGTTCTGCTGTAGGAGCTCTGAGTCAGTTTATGTCAAACCCTTCTTCAGATCATTGGCAAGGAGTTAAGAGAATATTCCGTTACCTGAAAGGAACACTTGACTACTGCCTTACGTTTGACGCAAACAACGCAAGTTTAAAGTTACAAGGGTATTCTGATGCAAATTGGGCTGGTGACGTTGATTCAAGACGATCCACTTCAGGATACATGTTTCAACTAGCAGGTTCTACAGTTTCATGGAGAAGTCAACGGCAGAGTGTTGTTGCGCTGTCAACGACAGAAGCTGAGTACATCAGTCTCAGTACAGCTACGCAAGAAGCTATCTGGCTTCGAAGATTGATAGAGAGTTCAGGAATTGAAACATCGGGACCCACAACAATATTCGAAGACAACCAAGGAGCAATCGCTCTATCAAAGAACCAATCCAGCCACTCACGAACAAAGCATATAGATATAAAGTACCACTTTGTTCGAGATGCTGTGGAAAAGAAACAAGTAAATCTAAAGTATTATCCATCAGAGGAAATGATTGCAGATATCCTTACTAAAGGGCTGCCTAAAGAAAGGTTTGAAAAATTGCGAAACTTGATGGGTCTTAGATTAAAGGACTAAGAGAAGATACTCATCAAGGGGGACTGTTGAACAATAATTATCTTTTGTTATATTGATTCGTATCTACATCCGCTTCCTGTTCCGCAAACGCGGTTATACATCATGTGACTGTTATGAGTTTTAAGTGTCTCGCTAGCTGAAGTTGTGTTCGCTATTATTATTGAGTTTTGTTATGTTGTCAGATATACACTCGTGATTTCTTTACGCTATTTCTGCGAAACTCGACGTAACTTTAAATTAACATCTTGTTGAAGTTTTCAACATTTGCATTTCCTTGTGTGGCCATAACGGAGTACTTGTTTTCCAATCTATATTCAGCGCTTTTATGTACCTTTCAAACTCGGTTCCATTGAACGGTGGTCCGTTATCACTAGTAAGTTTGACTGGTATGCCGTGAGTTGCAAATATTCGGTCTAATTTCGGAATTACAGCTTGAGCTGAAGTAGAATGCACAATCTCTACCTCTGGAAATTTTGTATATTTGTCAATGACCACCAATAAATATTGTTGTGAATCTGGTATAGGTCCAAGAAAGTCAATTCCGACAGGATACCAAGGTATGTTGTTGGTTGGTGTTATCTGCATTGGGTCAATTGGCTTGCTTGTTCCAACTGCTTGGCAAGAACTACATCTTTCTATTAATTCTTTAACTTTTTGGCTCATGTTTGGGTACTAAATCTTTTCTCTCAACAAACTTTTGGTCTTTTCTATACCTTGATGGCCTATGTGTGCTAGCTGAGTTGCTTTGTCTTGTAAAACTTCTGGGATTATAGTTCGGTTGCCTTTCATTAAGATATCTTTTGTTTTGTTGCTTGTAATTTCTTCCATACATTTTTTGTAAGGCTGAATCTCTTTTTCTTTGTCCCAATCTCCTGTGTCTAATGCCTTCTGACCTTTTTGAAGTACTCTGTCTTTCTTTGTTTCTTTTTGTATCTCTTCTAATGACATGGACTTCGGTACTGCATCTCCTATTATATAATTGACATACTCTTCTGCTATGCGCTCTTCTGAACTATCTGTGGTTGTAACATCAATCGGATGTCGACTCAGGTAATCAGCTTCATTTGTACTTCCTGTCTTGTTAATAACATGAAAGTTATATGGCTGTAGTCTCATAATCCATCTCTCTATACGTGCTGGAGGTTTCGATCTTGGATTGTTAAAAATAGCCTCTAGTGCCTTGTGGTCAGTTATGATATCAAAATCTGCACCTAATAAGAAGAGTCGAAAATGCTCTACTCCCCAAACTAGTGCAAGTCCTTCTATGTCCGTTTGTGAATATCGACTTTCCACCGAACTAAGTGCTCTACTTGCATATGAGATAATTCTGTAACTTGTGCTGTCGTTGTCTTTCTGTGCAAGAATGGCACTAATTCCTTTCGGAGATCCATCAACAATTAGTCTACTTCGCTTATGAGTATCAAAATAAGAAATTACAGGTGCTTGAGTTAGCTTCTGTTTTAGTTGATTGAAAGCTTTTTGTTCGACAAATGTCCACTTGAACTTGGTGTCTTTCTTTGTTGACTCACGCAATGGTAACGTTAGAGAAGCATAATTAGGAATGTAATCACTGCATGTATTTGCCATTCCTAAGAAGCTCCGTACTTCTGAAACATTCTGTGGAGGTGCAATATTTTGAAGCTTTGAAACTCTTTCAGGATCAGGTCTTGTACCTTTTTCAGTGAATATCAGACCATAGAATTTCACTTCTGCTTGTAGAAAACTGCATTTTGATGCTTTTGCTTTTATATTGAGATCTGATAATCTTTGCAAGCAATTTCCAAGTGCTGTATCATGTTCTTTGCGATTCTTTCCAAAAATGATTATATCATCTGCAATATTTTTCACATTTTTGATGTCACTAAGGTTACGTTGTAGAATGTTTTGAAATAATTCAGCACTGCTAGATGTACTATAAGACAATCTTTTGTATTGAAAAAGGCCTTCATGTGTTGAAAATGTTGTTATAAAACGGCTGTCTGGCTCTAGCTCTACTTGGTGGTATGCTTGTTTCAAATCTATTTTTGAAAAATATTTTGAACCATTCACTTCTGCCTTGAAATCATCTAAAGTTGGCATCATGTGTCGTTCTCTAACAATTGCTTTATTTGCTTCTCTCATGTCAACGCAAATTCGTGTCCCTCCATCTTTTTTTGGAACACACACAATAGGAGATATCCAAGGAGTTGGTTGGTCTACCACTTTTTCAATAATATCTTGTTCTATTAGTTTGTTCAGCTCCTTTGAAACAGCTTTTCTCATGTGATATGGTATCCTTCTCTGTGGTTGCAAAACTGGGGTTACATCATTTTGTATGTGTAACTTTACTCGCTGTCCCTTTTTTGTCCTTCTCCGATGAAAACATTTTTGTGTTTACTCGGCAGCTTGTTGATCGCTTCATCCTTACTGTGGGGTATATTGGCTTCCTTTGCAGAACTATTCTCTGTTGGAATATGCTTTGTATCCTTTGTTATCTGCGTGCCTTTTACTGTGTTTATTAATTGGATCAGTGAGAGATCCTGTGCGGTCTTCGCACTTAGTAGATTACCCCCGGTTCCTTCAACGACATAGAATGTTGAAACTGTGTATCGCGAGTTGGACTCGCTTGAAGCTTGGAAACAATCTCGTAACTTTAAAGGCGTTGAAGAACCATAAACAAATATTTTCGTCTTTGTTGGCTCTAGTTTGACGTCGTTTTTAATGCTCTGATATGTTGGGTTGTCAACAACATCGACAGTTGCCCCCGTATCTATAAGAAAGTTAATTTCTCGTGACTCATTCAGACGCAGCAAAGTTTTGTGCTTGGAATTTGGCGTATTGTTTTCAATAGCATAAGCATAGTTATCGTCTGATGAACTATCTTCTTGTACTGGTGAGGTACCAATAAAATTAGCTTTTCGACTTTTCCAAGACGTTTGTTTATTTTGAGATTTGTTTGATCTCCCGTAAACACGACCTTGTGCGGGTTTCCTCTGGCGGGGTTTTCTTGGAGTCTCGTCCTGTGGTTTTCGACACATTTTAGCAAAATGTCCTTTTATTCCACAATGTGAGCAATTAGCTTGTCGAGCAGGGCATGGTTTATTTATATGCGGGAATGAAAGTTCACATTTATAGCAGGCGTTCTTGGTACTTATTTCCTTTATTTGTAACTCTTGGAAATTTTCTTCAATTCCCATGGCTTGGGCAGAGCTAACTTCGGTTTTACGTCCGTCTATTAGCATGTCGGCCAAGTTGTATCCAGAATCACGAAGGGCTTTCCTCCTTAGGCGATTTGACTTACCATTACAGACTATCTGCATCTTGATTTCAAAATCAGTGTCATGGAATTGACAGTATTTGGCGAGGGTACGTAGTCTTGTATGAAATTCATCCAAAGTCTCATCAGCTCGTTGTTTGGCCTGGCGAAAATTATAAATTTCAAAAATTGGGTTTTTCGCTGGTTCGAAGTGCTTGGTCAAGGCATCTTTGGCTTTGGTATAATTGTTGCTTTCTCCTGTATCAGGTAACGTTTTAAAAATTTCATACACTTCTGGTCCTGCCTGGTATAACAATAAGGCTCGTTTTCGTGCATCGTCTGTTACATCCGCCGCTATCAAGTATGTTTCGAATCTTTCTAGCCACCCTGTCCATCTTGCTCCAGTGTTAGTTGGATCTGATTTGGGCTGAAATTTAGGCATAGGCGAAATATTACTTGCTGTAGCCATTCTAGTCGATCCTTTTTCGCTTTTATCTCGTCGCCATTGTAAATGGTGGATAGGTTTGCAACAATTAATAACGCGTGTGTTTCAGAGAGGCATTCACTATATACTTATCGTGTATCATTACATGGAGTAATAATATGTATGAATCACTACACTTAGGTACTCATTAACCTTTCCTTCTGCAAAGCTCCGCGTAGGAAAACCAAATTTTTTTGATTTGCTAAACTTGCTGCGTCATAGCTCACCCCGCCGTTGATTTACGCATTATAAATCTTTTGACAGCATTTTTATGTTCGAAAAAACATTCTTATTCGTTTCAAAAACAAATTGGAAGCCTATCTTTTCAATTTCGTTTAGTTTGATTCCAAAGCAAGAAGGATGTTTTCCTTCGTTATCAAACTATAGAATTGAGGCGAGATCATTAAGCGTCAACTTGATTGTCAGTGCGGGTCGTTAGCGATAGTTAGGTGCCCATTAATCGTTCCTTCTGCAAAGCTCCACCGTGGAAATAAAACCTTTTCGATTTTCTAAACTTGCTGCGTTATAGCTTGCCCCGCCGGTGTTTTGAGCATAAAAAATTAGCAGACGGCATTTGTATGAAGCAAAAATCGCCCTTAGTCATTTCCAAAAGAAAATTACAGCTTATCTTTAAAAAAATTTTATCGTGATATGGGATGATCATTATGTTTACTTTGATACGTAACGGCTCTTTAAGCTATTCACGTTCCCTTTTAGAAAGAAGGGCGATATCCACTCATAGAAAGGTCCTTAATTCGAGCCAAAGGGGCCATAAGCTTGCAACTGAAGGTGGCTCCCCTATTATTGCCCTGTATCGAGTGCATTTGTGAAGGACGTGTTTGAAATGGCATCGAAATTGCTTTTTTGGCATGTTGATTAATTAATTAAGTCTTGCTTGATTCATGTAGGTACAGTAACGTGCCTCCAACATTAACAAGGATAATTTGGCTACGCGGACCATACTTTCCAGTTAAATCGACCAATATCGAGCGCAATGTTAAAAGCAAGCTATTGAACAGCAGGCCATGTCACTTGGGACCAACTTTATTACAGTTGTGCGAGTAAAAATCGCGTAGGAGCGCGAGTGTTTTTTGCACATTTTTTTGAAGAAGAATTTTGTGATGGCAGAGGGCGTGGTTCTCTCAGCCTCTGCGGGGGAGCACGCCACCGCCTCTTTTTGGTGGGAGCCTCTTTTGGGCGGGAGCCACGCCCAAGCGGGGTGCACGCCTCTGCGGGGGCAGGTCGTATGTGTTGCGGATTTTTTGTGAGGGGGGTTTTGTGTGTTGGGGATGGCGATTAGTTCGTTCTTTGCTAATTTGCAGCTCGGGTGGGGGGGGTGGGGCTTGCGGTCCCCTGGTTCGGCGTTCCGCGGGCCGGCAGTCCACCCAAGTCATAGATAACATCCTTTTAGGAAAGCGGAAGTGGTTTAACGGTGGCGTCAATCACGTGGAGTCAATGTCATTGGAGGAATAAATACCGTAATTCGTAATGGATGATAAGAACGAACTTTAAAGTGAACAAATTGCTTCCAAATGCTATCTAGGACATATATTCAATCATTTCCTTATTTAGAAATGGAAATTTATTGTCACGTGACTTCTTACCGACTAAATCCATATAAGGAGATTACTAATCAAAATTGGCTCCTAAATGAAGTTTATGAATGAACATTATTTATATTCACGTCAAACTCACTTTTATGACTTTTAATATCGAAACGAAACATCAAGAGGCAAGGCTCCTGGAGCATAATGTGGATTGGGGAGGGGGGGTTAGAAAGATTTAGGGGGCACAAGATGCTTAAAGATAAGAGCAATATTTACAGTATTGTTTTAAGTACATTATGGGATTTATTGTAGACTAAGCGACATCAGTCCTTTCAACACTCTACTTGTGCACTCTTGCGATAGAGAGGGGCAAAATGACTCAACGAATAAAATTAAC